ATCTGTATGACAATAGTTTCACTGATTCTGTATGACAATAGTTTCACTGAATCTGTATGACAATAGTTTCACTGATTCTGTATGACAATGGTTTCACTGATTCTCTATGACAATGGTCTCACTGATTCTGTATGACAATGGTCTCACTGATTCTGTTTGACAATGGTCTCACTGATTCTGTATGACAATGGATTCACTGAATCTGTATGACAATAGTTTAACTGAATCTCTATGACAATGGTTTCACTGATTCTGTATGACAATGGTTTCACTGAATCTGTATGACAATGGTTTCACTGAATCTGTATGACAATGATTTCACTGAATCTGTATGACAATGATTTTACTGAATCTGTATGACAATGGTTTCACTGAATCTGTATGACCATGGTTTCACTGAATCTGTATGACAATGATTTCACTGAATCTGTATGACAATGGTTTCACTGAATCTGTACGACAATGATTTCACTGAATCTGTATGACAATGGTTTCACTGAATCTGTATGACCATGGTTTCACTGAATCTGTATGACAATGATTTAACTGAATCTGTATGACCATGGTTTCACTGATTCTCTATGACCATGGTTTCACTGAATCTGTATGACAATGGTTTCACTGATTCTGTATGACAATGGTTTCACTGATTCTGTATGACAATGATTTAACTGAATCTGTATGACAATGATTTCAATGAATCTGTATGACAATAGTTTTACTGAATCTGTATAAAAATGGTTTCACTGATTCTCTATGACCATGGTTTCACTGAATCTGCATGACAATGGTTTCACTGATTCTCTATGACAATGGTCTGATTCTCTATGGCAAGGGTTTCACTGAATCTGTATGACAATGGTTTCACTGATACTCTATGACAATGGTCTCACTGATTCTGTATGACAATGGTTTCACTGAATCTGTATGACAATGGTCTCACTGATTCTGTATGACAATGGATTCACTGAATCTGTATGACAATGGTCTCACTGAATCTGTATGACAATGGTCTCACTGAATCTGTATGACAATGGTTTCACTGAATCTGTATGACAATGATTTCACTGAATCTGTATGACCATGGTTTCACTGATTTTCTATGACCATGGTTTCACTGAACCTGTATGACAATGGTTTCACTAATTCTGTATGACCATGGTCTCACTGAATCTGTATGACAATATTTTCACTGAATCTGTATGAGCAGGTTTCACTGATTCTGTATGACAATGGTTTCAATGAATCTGTATGACAATGGTTTCACTGATTCTGTATGACCATGGTTTCACTGAATCTGTTTGACTGTTTCATCAAGCAGGGTGCAGATTTGCTTCAATCAATGCCAAGCCTCTAATACATGAAGAAATTATCGTGACTGCGATGGAGCTTTAGTCAGTCTCAGATAATCACCAGGTCGATTTGTTTCAACCAACTTCCCCCTGTCATTAACTAAATTATACTCATCAAGGCGGATGATTAACATTTCCTGTTGTCAAAGTTGATCTTGTGAAAGACACATCTCCAGAACCAAGAGACCTTGGGAGATAAGTTAATCCTCTACACAATTAAACATCATTATTCCAGTATGTACTTATCCCTGTGAAATCCTGCACATCTAGACGGGACCGTTCCTATTGAAATTACAGGTTTACAGATTACTGGGTAAAAGAACCAAAGGGTCAGTCACGAACTAGCAGACTAGTTGATGTGGATAACAGAAATTATTTAGGATTCCTTGGCAGGCAAAACGGGAAAATAACTCTCTAACTCTGAGTTCTTATTTTCATAAATCCAGGATATTAACATGGTATTTTGACACTGCACTTCCAATTTAATGTAAAACTAAGTATCAATGCAACGTTCTGTTCACGGGCCCCATTATCAGTGAAAGACTATTCACCTCTACAAAGCCATAATTGTGTGTGTGTGTGTGTGTGTGTGTGTGTGAGAGAGAGAGAGAGAGAGAGAGAGAGAGAGAGAGAGAGAGAGAGAGAGAGAGAGAGAGAGAGAGAGAGAGAGAGAGACGTGGTCATGTATTGATATTTGTTGATATATACTATTACAGTTTTATTGAAGTCTTGCCATATGTTTCCTAAAGTGAGACCGTCAAACATCAAACCTATGTCCCATGTCACCTGGGTCACGTCTGTGTGTATACAGTAAGTAGGGTGAAACAAGGCACTTAAACAACACTTGGCCTTCGATATGATCCACGATATATAACACCCAAGTCATGAGGTGCCAAGGACATAGTTAGCCGGTAAGGTGTCTGAAAAAAGGGGGCATTCGCACCCCCTGCACCCCCTCCCTGGATCCACTAGTGATTCTGATGTCGACCCGTGAAGAACTGGGGTAGAATAGGTCTTCAGCAACCCATGCTGGCTGTAAGAGGCGACTATGCTTGTCGTAAGAGGCGACTAATGGGATCGGGTCGTCAGTCTCGCTGACTTGGTTGATGCATGCCATCGTGTCCCAATTGCGTGGATCGATGCTCATGATGTCAATCACTGGATTGTCTGGTCCAGACTCGAATATTTAGAGACGGCCGTCAAATAGCTGGAATATTGCTGAGTGCAGCATTTAACAACAAACAAACAAACAAGATAATGATGTCAAACTCAGTAATGACAACTTGGCAACCTACCTGTAGGTCCCTCGAGGAATTAAGAGTTTCAGTTTATCCTTTCTTTGATTATTTAGTGCCATCACATGAGAGAACCGATGGCCTTGTGGTGGCCAAGAGTACAATGTCTTTTCATATAACATGAGTGAGTGAGTGAGTGAGTGAGTTTGGTTTGAGCTTTTAGCAATATTCCAGCAATATCACAGCGGGGGACACCAGAAATGGGCTTCACATATTGTACCAGTGTTCGAAATACCTGCCTGCCCGACCGTCCGAGACAGGTTGATTTCAACTCGGGCTGCCAGATTTTCAAATCCCCCTGCTCGACGGTCGGGTTATATTTCAAATGTAAAAAGATTCTAAATATTTCCCGATGATAAGCATTATTTACATGATGTATTCTAGGATATTAAATACAAATCTGACCTAAAAAGTGTTTGCTATTTCTTTTCTTGCATTACTTCACGTTCAATGAATTTGATTTAAAGTTTTAATTAAATTATCCTGAGAAACATATGATTATAGTGGGCAGGCAGGTTTTGGTCTTGGCTGGCAAGTATTTCAGCTAGCCAGTCCTGTGGTCTGGCTGAAAATTTTGGGAGTTTCATACCCTGATTGTACCCATGTCGGGATTTGAACCCGGGTTTTCGGCGTGACGAGCGAACGCTTTAACCACTAAACTACCCGACCGCCCCTCATATAACATGGGTTAGATAACATAACATTAATAATTACACTGACATTAATTAGGAATTTTTTAGTTCCAATCGAGGAAGTTTTACAGCGGATTTGTGCCTGACTATCAGCTTCAGGGCAGATCACTCTACACTGGAATAATGCTACCGGCAGGCTGTTTCTCCGATGCAGCACAATTATTCAGCCGTGTCATGGAGCTGCATGCTTACAAAGCTACAGATGGTTATCGTATGATCCCATTATACAGCTATACACCATGTCACATACTCATTTCCATGTAACCACACATTTCTGTTTACCTACACAAATATAGATTTTTTTCTGAGGTTTCTCATTGTATTACACATGTAGATAATCCATACCCTCTTCAGATATTATTTATGATGGAACCTACTAAATTGAAGTTCACGAGTTCACAATCATACCTTGTCGTTTGAAGCAATGTGTCAGAATGTCACCATGACTCCCTTCATGAGTCAGTCCTTATCCCTAACATGTTACATACTTCGATATTCTAAAGAGAAAAAAATTAAAATATTTGTAAATCATTTTTGCGCAAACGTTAACTGATGAGGTTATCTTACATCCCATAATTTCATCAGCAGAATCTTAACTCATAAGCCACAGGTCCTAATGATATCCTTGTAGACACTAGAGCTGGGACGAGTCCAAATTTACTACCCAGATACCCACCCCTCTATAATCCGACCCTTCCCGGTACCCGCTGTAGGTCTCAAGAGATGGGTACAAGATGTCCTATTGCAAACTGTTTGACCAGAGATCTGGTAAAGTGTACTTAGGTGCACTGCAAAATGATCTGGTCATGCATACACTGAAGTTGACTGACGCTTCGTCTTTATTCAAAAATATATGTCAGAATGAATGCATGGATAGTCGGAAAGAAATGCGAAAATTTGAGACCTCTTGTGTATTCACAGAGTTCTAGGCCTAGATACTTTTTCTCATTAACAATATATCACATGACGAACCACTACCTACTCAGGACCCTGTAGGCTAACCCAAGTACTCGAGTTACCCATCCCAGCCCTGATAGACAGGCTTCCAAATCTAGTTATTTGAATTTTCGGCAAGTCCATGGATACTTTAGATGTTAACATCACTGCCCCGTATATAATGACTGCAGCAATCTCTGCAGTAAGTGACCATGAATAGTATATTTGATCCTGGAATTCTCACGCCTCTATCGTTCTACAAGAAATGGCCATTCCACTCAACACCTCCAAATGACCACGAGCATTCTCTCAATAGACCTAGTGCTCCCGTTGATGCATCTAAGTTTCGAGTGTGGGTGATTGTCTTGCAGGTACATGTTATTGAATACTGCAGCTGGCCGTCAGAATGAATTTGTCGCGTGCAGATATTGAAATGTAGGACCGAAGAGCCAGCCTCCATCATTCATATCGGAAACCTGGCGTTCTGCCAGTTTACGAACCACTAAAGCACTAATACCATATACCAAGTTAGAATGAATACAACTGTTTCAAACTGGTTTTGCGTGGACAGTCAGGTATGCTGGAATGTTTTCCATCGATTACCCTTCGGTAGTGATGCCTTCGCTGTTTACTGGTATAAACGCAGGCTCTTTCGAACAGCCACGATGCGCTTTACACTCGCACCTGGCGAAACACAAACTGACTTCAAAAACATCGAGACTTACCTAATGACAGACAATCATACAAGATGCTTTCAAACGGTGTTATAATCCATTAGAAATCGCGAGTACACATGACATTCAGGTATCCAGTCCGCGGCATACTTGTACTGTTAATATCCCACTGTCATTTGTGCACAGCGCTACACACAACTATTGTGACCGATACATATGTTCCCTGTGAAATACTATCCGCCCCGGCAGCTCTTCTATGCGATCGATGCCATGCACGGATGGTTTTCGTCGAGGACAAACGTCCGTATGTGACAAGGAAACCTGTTTGGATAACGAAGCCACAAGACTAAACCGTTTTTTATAGGGGTCGCGAGCAGGTCGAGCAAGAGGAAGAGCTAGATATCGGATGTCTTTTGTTGAGGCAAGTGGTCGTGTGTGTGTTGACACGTTAATAGATATTGGACCTAATTACGGGAATTATTTCCAAGAAGATACCTAATCATCACTTTGACACAGTTAAGACGTGAGAATAAATACGATGTGATTTCTCAATTAAATGAAGGACATCGACAACTCGATTGTCAGAATCATGTTAATTGGAAATACATCCTCAAACTTCAATTATATCTTTTCAGAACAAAACCACCAAAGACATGGGGATCACTACACCGAATGGCCGAACATTGCCAAAAACGGAAAGAAACATCTGTAGCCCACAATTTTTAAGGCATGTGCATCTTTTCGTCCCTGAATTTAAGTATTAATCCAAGAAAACAAACCTTTCCATTATCATAAAAAGTCTCTGTGTCTGCTTGTACTAGTCCGGACTGATGCCGATTCATAGTGCTAGCCCACTGAGCCGCAGTTTAACATGAATACCCCACTCAGACAAAGTATACTGACTCCGAGCCGACCAGTCCTTGATTTAGCCCCTTAATGCCGAGCGCCAGACAGGGTAACAATTTAACAAGTACCATCTTTTAACGTCTTTTGGTAGGACGCGGCCGGGGATCGAACCCCGGACCTTCCGCTCTCCCGGCGGACGCTCTACCACTAGACCACGGAGGCGGTCAGATACTAATTAAGTCCTGCGTATGAGATAATAAGTCCTACGTAGGAGATTGTAATTCTAGACCATACTAAGTCCTACGTAGGAGATACGTAGACAAAAAAAAATAAAATCACCGTGGCCCTACTATGTTTCCGTAGTTTATCATAGAAAACCAATCATAAAAAATATTATCCAGAAACACATATATTATTGTGTTTGTTGTTTAACGCCGCACTCAGAATATTCCAGCTTTTTGACGGCAAGATGGCTGCTGCTGATGAATTGTAACCCGAATCTTCACGGGATGTTCTGTCATTAATTTGTAAGCGTTGTTAGCCAAGTGAAACTACATAATATTATGTAGTTAGCTGATCCGTACATATGTATAGTTTCACTTCACCAAACAACCAATTATATCAAATTAAATAGCATCATTAAAAAAACATATATTCCAATTATTCAAAACGTGGCAAGAATATTGATTCAATAAGAAAAATTTGCGTTAGAAATCTGCATAATATTATAGTGATTAATGCAATATTTTTGGTAGATGTATGTGAATGTTATGGACCTGACCAGCTGTGTCGGCAACGGTTGGACAGCGTCGACAGTGTAGGTTTCTTTGTTGTTTTACGCCGCAACATTCAAGCTACATGACGCGCATTCAACCAAGTCGCCGAGTCGGACCAAAGAGCCCATTGTTTTCGTATTCCGTAATGTGGCTGTAGTCTTACAATGCTTGTTTGGTTGGTTGTTGTTTAACGCTGCACTCAGCTATATGACGGCGGTCTGTAAATAATCGTGTCTGAACCAGACAATCCAGTGACATGGGCATCGATTCACGCAATTGGGATAAGATGACATGCATCAACCAAGTCAGCGAGCCTGACCACCCGATCCCGTTAATCGCCTCTTACGACAAGCATGAGTTGCTGAAGACCTGTATTCTTACCCGGGCCTTCAAGGGTCGCGATCGGCTTACGATGTTAAATTGTTTGGCAATGCAACAGTGCGTGTATTTTGCTTGATTTCGTTAAGCCTCGCTGTCCCCTTTCATGTTCGATGTCCCCGTTCACGTAGGCTGACTCTGTTCATGTAATCTGATGAGTGCCATTGGTTGGTGACAGCATGAGAAACGGTTGGTCACTAAAGCTCGATTTATCAAGTTCGGCGGACAACTGGAGCAGGCGAGTATTCAATGTGTTTCAGAGTATCTATTGTACCCCGATCTTTAAGGATTGAAACTTCAAAGTTTCATAGGGGCGGTCGGGTAGCCCAGTGGTTAAAGCGTTCGCTCGTCACGCCGAAGACCCGGGTTCGATTCCCGACATGGGTACAATATGTGAAGCCCATTTCTGGTGTCCCCCGCCGTGATATTGCTGGAATATTGCTAAAAGCGGCGTAAAACCATACTCAGTCAGTCAGTCAAAGTTACATAAGTTGACAGCTTCTCTCCAATACTACTTCTTTACAACTTGCCGTCACCAGTGTTATGAACTTACAAAACATCAAGACTATTAAAGGTTTTCCGAGGTATCGCATGTGCATGTGTTGGAAATTTCAACTTAGTATCTTGAAATTTCAAGAAAAAGAATAAAAAGCAGATGGCTCTAAAAGGCCTCCTCGGTACCAACATAATGATTTACGTCAGGACTGTCCACCAGGACGGCACCATACTTTTATTATTATTATTTACAGATTAAAATAAAAAATGCGGCAAAGAGGGTTTGACTTCTCCCAGGAATCGCTGCCTAGTCAAACCCACCCAGAACTTTTCGGAGAATGTGAAGATTCCCAAACTCTGCAGCCTTCTGCATTACCCAGGTTGTCGGAAGGGCTGTATGTATACAGGAGAAACCATTTCTACGAGGGATTACCAGTGATTGTAAGCCCTGGCATGAGGTGACATACATGAGGTGACATACATGAGGTATGTCACCGAATGTCAGGGTTTACAATCGCTGGTAATCCCGAGGAGAAATGGTTTGTTCAACTGATAAACCGACTCATCGCATAGACAACGTTTTTAATTAAATAACTGTAATAAAAACTCTCAAACTTATAACCTGTATCGGAGATGAAATATCGCCTGCAGTCGTGAACTAGGTTCAATGAAACCGGTGACCTCAGCACGTGGGTTTCGCAACGGTGCGAAATCTGCACGTGCGTCTCGCAATGGCACGAAATCTGCACGTGCGTCCCGTAGGTTGTTCGTAGTGTTTGTTCTTTCAAGGGTTTACTATGATTGTAAGCCCTCCTACGAGGTGTTACCACAATTTCCAAAACTCCATATCGAGTAACACAAACAGCCAGTAGGCTTATAATCCTGGTAGCAAACCCTGATACTCTCCCAATGTCAGTCAACAGATTGGGAGGTACCAAACCTAAAGCACCGAGAACAATGGGGAGTCGGACAACTTGGCACTAGGAATGAAAGCGTGACATTTCGAAAGCGAGGTCCGCATATTTGCCATGTTTTTCCTCAGTCTTGTCAATCACATTAGTGTCAAAGGGGACAGAAAATTCAATGATATAAATGATTTCATTGGATTTATCAAAAAGGACAAGATCAGGGTTGTTGGCCTGGATACGTCTAAGGCTGTAAATGGGCCTATTCCAAAGAATTTTGTATTTATCATTTTCCATGACGCCCTTTACATATTCTGGGTCATGGGTGTACCATGGGTGGACCTCTGTGTCAAAGCCACAAGCATGGCGAAGATGGTAAAAAAATGATCGAGTCACTCCATCATGTCGCTTAAGATACTGTGTTTGTGCCAAAGCTGGGCATCTACTGACAATATGTTGGATAGTCTCATTAAATTCATTACAAAATGTACATTTAATATTTACATTTTGATGCAAATTCACACATTGACGGTTTCGAGTGGGAAGTGACTGGTCCTGAGCAGCAAACAGAAAGCCTTCTGTTTCACTTTTCAGACCAGCCGACCTTATCAAAGCGAAGGACTCTACAGGGTTGCTGATCCTCTCAACACATTGCACATAAATTCGAAGCAGTGGTCGTTCAAAAAACGAGTCAGTGATATTCCAGCTCTATGACGGCGGTCTGTAAATAATCTAATCAGTACCAGACAATACAGTGGTTGACATCATGAGCATCGGATTACACAATCGGGAAACGATGACATTCATCAACCAAGTCAGCAAGCCTGATCACCCGATCCCGTTAGTCGCCTTTTACGACAAGCATGGGTTGGTGAAGACCTTTTCTACCAAGGATCTTCTCGGGTCGGTTGGGCCGCCTCCGTGGTCTTGTGGTAGAGCGTCCGCCCGGAGAGCGGAAGGTCCGGGGTTCGATCCCCGGCCGCGTCATACCAAAAGACGTTAAAAGATGGTATTTGTTGTTACCCTGTCTGGCGCTCGACATTAAGGGGCTAAAACAGTATACTGTGTCTGAGTGGGGTATTCATGTTAAACTGCGGCATGGTATCTCAGTGAGCTAGCACTATAAATCGGCATCAGTCCGGACTAGTACAAGCTGCCACACAAACACACATACGTGCATGCACGTCGCTATATAAGTGCAATAATCTTGGACGCGACGTTAAACCCAATTTCACCTCACCTCACCTCGGGTCGGTTGGCGATGTTGTTGTGTCAAAACAACATATCGGACAGACCGTCTGGCTCTGATACTCGCATTATGAAGGCGGCACCGCAGTGTCAGGCATCATTCGCAATCCTATAATTACTGCTGTCGTACAGTACACAAACTCTGTGCACTCAGAAGAACCCACTCCTCCGATGGTATAGATGACCAGATGGTGGAAACACGAATACGTACATACACCCCCAATTGTCAAAACGTGTTGTACGTTTTGTCTTGAACGGGTATCCGCATGACAAAACAATGTATGGGGAAATGAGGGCTATTTACATTAGGAAACGGTCAAGTATTAATCACTTAAAACATCCAAGTAACAGTGTCGCAGCACTTGAACAGGCACGGTTGCGTCACCTGACCGTTGAGAACAGCAAGGCTCCTTACAGCGTACTAGGAGGCGCTTATATATTGTGTTACTAATACTGCGCTACAAATACAAGTAAAGCTGATTACAGGACACTTGCCCCGAGGAATTGTAAAGCTATATTTCGCTATTATATGCCGACGTTTGTCGATATAGCATTGTTTTACAAA